TTTTTTTGTTTTTTGATGATGGATGCTTCGGGTTGAGCTTCCACTTCAGTCGGAATTGAGATAAAATTTCCTACATATAAATTTTGTCAATTCCTCAAAGCTATGCGTCGTTTAGATGCGCAGAAAATGGTCACGAGACGCCCTAAAACACCTCTAGAGTTGTTATTTCTTTAACTCCGTTGTCTTGCCACGTACTTGATCTAACGTCTTGTCAAGAAGCCTTATTAATCCATTGGAGCGACTTTTTTCGAAGCATGAATTTGCCTATTTTTCTTCTCATTCAGACATACAGTGAGCTCGCGATTATATGAACTAATTAAAACCAAGCCTGTTAATTTTTGCGAGATTGTTTATATTAACGAAAGGCTCAAGAATTAAAAACCAACAAGTTTCATTAATAAAAAAAATGTTTTATTTAGAACTTTAAAAGAAACTTGTATTCGTTTTGTTTGTTACACAAATAAGGGGAACTTCGGTTATTGTGGTATAGGTATTTTTTTTAAATGTGTAGCAAATGTACGAGCTTTATTGTAACTATTATTTATTATACGAGAACAGTGAAACTTAAGTTATAAAATATTTTTCAGTTAAATACTACTTGATTTCAAAATTAACAAAGTTATTCAAAAAAATTTAAAAGAAACCAAAAAATACTTACTTCAAAAATTGGAGAGTAATATGGTATATATGGTTAGGATAATGTGGTATATTTTACCACATTACGATAACGCAGCTGTTATCATCTATATCATGTTGTCTTGGGTCCACTTTCGGACTTCCCCTATTTTTGGCATCTAGAATAGTCGTGGTGTTCAAGTAATTAAAAATTATCTAACCGACCTCTTGTCTACCACAATAACCGATTTTCAAAATTTCCAAACAAACTCATACAATACATAAACTTTCTATTAGCCGAGACTTGATAAACGAAATACAAAACTTACTTCGCAAATTTAAAATTTTTTTTCTAAAGTAAGTTTTTTTTTAACAAATAAACTTGATTTCTTGCAGTTAAAAAACTTTAAAATCTTGGATCACATGTTTGAGGCATATTTAACAAAATGAAAACCGAACATGAAGTTATTCACTGTAAGCATTTCCAAGCGACACGTATGGACATTTCCAATGCAAATAACTGCGGGGTTCCCTAAATTACCAAGCGCTTTAAAGTCGTTAGAAATTTTTAAAAACAATAATGTTCATATTTTGGAGCTTTTGCCTAAAGTTCATATTTTAGGGTAGTCAATTGTAGCGGAAAAAAGTGCATATTTTGGGATGTTCATATGTTAGGATGTTAATATTATCGCGAGCTCATTGTATGTATGTAAGCGCGAAGAGCCTTTTCTGTGCGCCATTTTTTGGGCACAGTAGTGGCAGTTAAAATAAGTACCACTTTCTTGCATTTAGATCTTGTAGTGTTTAAAATTTTAGAAATTTTTTTCTGTACCAAAATTCATTTTGCCTCATCACAAACTTTGTGCCAAAGGGTGAAATGTGCAGGCAAAGCCATTTAGCTGTCGATTTTTTTTCCATATTTTGTTCTTTGATCTCTTTAACTAATAAAAAAATATTAAGCTTAGAAGTTGGCTAGTCGATGCAAGTCAGTTAGCAGAGTAGCAGAGAAACTTTTTTTTTGTGCGATTTCGATTAGCTATTAAAAGTAAACGGTGCGTCTACTGCATATTTCTTTTCATGGAGAGAAGTTATTATCGGGTTATAGAAAAATTATTTAATTAATTCTTAAATTCGGTAAATATCTTTTTCCAGTTCTGTAAGTTCAGCCTGAAAAGTTGAATTGAAATTATTTTAAATGCATTTTCAAACAGAAAAAAAAACTAAATAGTTTCGCTGAGTTCCGACTTGAAATTTATAAATCTAATTCTGTGATGTGTTGGCTTTAAGGTAAAATATACTCTTTTTGCGCGCTTTTACGACACCCATACAATTGTTTTAAATTTTCAGAATGGCTCCTCCAAAACCCCAAGAACCTCCGAGTAACTAGTTTCAAGCGAATTCAAAAATGTTTTTTTTTTGTGAGCTTGCCCGCCATATTGGATCCTAATTTCGAATTTTAAAAATTCATGGTCAGATGCATAATTAGCGACCCCAAAAACCCCCGAGTTTTTTGTACGCCATATTGGATCCGCATTATTGGATTTTTGAAACCTGACTGAAGGTTTGTAATCAGTGGTCCCATAAACCAGCGGGTACGAAGTGGTGTAAAAATCCATCACGCGAACCTGTTCAAATAGTCCAATAGTCCGCCAGATTCGATATTTAGCCCACTGTGTATCGTTAGAAAAAAATTTTAGCTCCCAACTGGGGTCAAATTGAGGACTTTTACGCTTCTAAAACTTTTCCAACGCAAATTTTTTTATTCAAACAAGTTTCAAAACCTAGAAGTAAATAAATTCCTGCTGAAACTAGCCTGAGCCACGTCGCACAGTGTTCAATTTTTCGAAAAAATAGACAAAATCAAATATCTCAAGAGCGTGATGAGATAGCGAATTAGCTGCAAATGGTATTTTAAAGCTTTTGAAATGCAGAAGTCAGGAAAAGTAGTTTCGTTGAATTACCTTGACCTTAAAATGACATTCAAAAATAGAAGGTTTTAAATGTGTTCATATTTTTGACCTAAAACCAGTATGCAGGAAGGCCCCCACTGGAATGAAAAGATCAGGTAGAAAAGGACTTGGCTTCACTTGGCATTACCAATTGGCGCCAGTTGGCACAGAAAAGATACGACTGGCATGCTTTGCTGTACTCGGCGGTTACAGCGCCAAATAAGAAGAAGAAGAAGTATGCAGTGAACTTTTTAAAACATAAATATGTACATATTTTTGCTGTTCTTGACACACGCAATCCCTTTTTATGGTCGTAAAAACTAAAAATATGCATTTTAATTTTTTTATAAGTTCATTGCATGCTGTTTTTAGGTCTAAAACAGAAAAAAATTCAAAAATTTTACTTTTGAAGGTCGGTTTTGAGCTCAAGGTAATTTTTCATTCAATTAGCTCTTTAAAATGGCCATGAAAAGTAAAATTTTGAATTTTTTTCTAAAAACAGCTTGAAATTAAATTTTAAAATCAATTTAAAATGCAGTTTTAGATTCCTTGACGCAATCACGGCAAAAATAAGTGTTTGAAAATTGTAAACTGCATTTGCATACTGGTTTCAGGTCGATAGAAGAAAAAAATTTAAAACCTTATATTTTTGGAGCTAAGCCTGTGTCCCTGAAGCTTAACAACAGCGAATTTATGGATCCTTCGAGCTTTCAAGACTCTGTTATAGATTCCTACGTTAAAACTTTGTTAATCCGCGTAAAGCGAGTAAAAATATTTGAGAAGGTGGACTTAAATCAATTCCAAACCAAGCAATGTTTCTAAATTATTGTTATTCCAGCCATACAAGTATGGAAGTTTTAAGCAACATAAGGGCTAACAACAGCCCAAAAACATACACCATTTCGGTCAGAAGCTCTTTCGCTCTCTTAACTCCTTTCGAACGCTAGCTACTATTTGATTAAAACAAATTGTCCAGATTTAGCAGTAGTTTCCTGCATGCCTACTTCTCAGCTTCCACAAACTCAAACCCAGGCAACTGCCTGTCAAATTCCAAC